CGGGGTATTTTTCAAAAATACAGTTGAGTAATATCCCGATATTATTTAAGGGAGATACTATTATAGGGGGATACTATACGGTATGCTAAATTCGCGATAGTCTGATATTCGTGTTATTACTTCTGTTTTCTTCCACCATTTACTCTGTACTATACTTTCACGATTACAGGATTTTTTCGTTATGTTGGTGTTAAGGAAATCATATTTAGGTAAATAAGTAAGCCACATTTACATTTGCTTCTTGGCAGTATTATACTTAAATTGATGGTAATTCAGATGAGGCCTGCGATTCGTATTCAATGATACTCCCTCTGAGAACATTGTTCAATAGGAATCCCTGTGAATAAACAAAGGCTTGTCTACATAACCGAAGAAGTACATAACGAGAAGAAGCTGGAAGACTATGATTTTCAGAGCGAAGGGATTATGATTCTGTGTATGACCCTGTTCGTAGTTCTACTTTCAGAAAAAAGATTACTCTTAGGGCTCCGTCAGATTGTTCATATTTGAGATTTTTAGAAACGTTAAAATCTGTATGGATGTCTATTGATCAAGACGTGTCACCTTTGGGAACTCCGCTTTACGAAAGCGATACTGTAATGTTCTAAAAAGAATTATTTCTGAGAAACGAGACAATGAGCAAGTTAGAGTTGCGACTTTACTGTTACAGAAGGTATTATCTGAAACAGGAGTTGCATGGCCTTGGAGGGTACCGTTCCTACCCGGCGTGATGGTACCGTTCCTAGTTCGTAATTATAATTAATTGACATTATAAATCTTCGAAAAATTTCTACTCGCAAAATTTAACTTCATGTTTTTTTTTTGTAAGGATGAGACGCGTGGATAAAGAAAAAGAACGGGGTGTTTATTGATTCAATCTTTGATTGTAGTCTATGTTATCCTGTTATCTCCCCAGATCGCTGTCAAGAAGAAAATCGAAATTAGATGCATTAAAGGTGCTTGATTCCACTCGAACCAGTGAAGCAGATAGCCTAGCTGGCGAGTTCAGCATCGAGAGGAAGCAAAAGAAAATTCAAAGGCGAAAAAACAAGTGCCTGTGAGTATCTTTAACAAAGATTCATGGCTCGAAATTAAAGATTGTTTTGTCCATTATAGTCAGCATTGAAAGATCCCGAAAAAATAGAAACCCCCAAAAAACGACCAGCTGAAGAAGCTTCTCCTGTTATTACACCTCCCAGCCTTCGCGATCGTTCTCCCTCCATCTTATAAAAGCGTGGATAATTCTTTTGGCAATTATAACGCCGAAGTTGAAGTTGCATCAACTGAGGCCTCTCCAGTAATATTTTTTTTTGTTTTGTTTGTCGTATGATGTGAATAAGTTCATTTCTAACCTGCATTACGATACTGCTTGTTTTTAAGTTAAATGTTCATGGCCTGTTACGCGTGAAGATGACAATGAAAATCCTTTCATTGCAAGAGAGGAATCAAAGAAACAATAAGGTTAATCAGGTTTAAGTTGCAAATCAATTATTAAATAAAGAAAAAAAAGGAAATTTCTTCAGTTTATTAATTAATTCGATTCTTAATTATATAGTTTAAGATCATTCTATCATGGAAACGTGCAATCAATAACATAAATACAAACAATATCTCTAGGAATGACGTAAGTATCGAGAAACATTTTGATAGTCTTTTCCTGATAAATAGTAATAATCCTTTCTCACATATAGTGGGTGGAAGATGGTCACAACATTTCTCTTGATTTCCGTGAATTTCAATTAACATCGATAAACCTATTAGAGACCAATCCCGACCTTTCATATATAAAAGATATAGATCGGATACTGTAAGTGTTTTTTATGCAAATAAAATCTATTTTAATATCTAATATTTATTCCAAAGACGTTGCCACCTGTCGTGCATTTAATAATAATTAAATATAATATTGTAAGTTTTCATCAATTTTCTAACTAATGATCGGCAAATTATTAATTTGTTATATTTTGTGATTAGCTTTTAAACGACAAACAGTTATTGGACATAAAATGACATGAGAATTGGGCCAAATGGAGTACACTATCAACAGACGAGGATAAATCCATCTTCGATTGTGCAGTTCTAAATTATTGAGAACATCTTAGTACGTTGTTGATATTTATTATTACACATCTGTCTTCAGTGAGTTTCGATGAGGATAAGAAACTGGACGAAGATACATTTGTTCACCGATATTTTCATAGAATTCTTGAAGAAATTTCTAGTAAAGACGATTTGCATTGATCTGGTAAGTTCCATGTAAAATTTTTACATTACATTATACAGTATATCAACCTATGCTCATATTTTTGTCATCGGAACAAAGGGATGAATACCATATGGAAAGAATCACGGAAGGAAGCTAGTTTCTTAAAGATAATTCTTTTTCAATAAATTCAAATAAATTAAGAGTTGCTTAAGCCAAGCACCTCAAGCAGTAATTCCAAGAAATAATAGGAAGGAACAAGTAAATAAGAACCTCTGAAACACTTAATCAAACTTTCATGTATGTATTTTTTTTTTTATTTTGTTTATTATTTTATTTTTAAAATGATCTATTTATGGGAAAATACATAAGCTTTGTATCCTATGTTTTCTTGGTAAAATATAATATGAAGTCCAAATTATTTAAGCATTATTATTCAAAAATATAATAGATTTTTTTGAAAATATTTTTTATAATATAATACCAAATGGTAAATTAAATTTAACTAATAATCAATGTCTTTATAATTATAATTAGAATACCTTATCTGAAAATTTGATTAAAGAATCAAGAAGATTGTGTAGTAATCTATTTACACAAGAAGATATATAAAATTTATCTGACAAAGATTT